GATTAACTGATTGTTTCCCTGATGCTGGCCGCATGCCAAGAAGATACCAAGGGAAACCCTCCAGGGTAAAGAGATGGGCAGTGACACCAGAGACAGCATGCAAATAAGAAACGCAGTGCACCCTGGATTTTTAGTTTTACAGTTTTTATAAGAAAAACCCCTAAAATCACGAGCCAACAAAGTGACTTAAAGTGACGTCTAAGGATGGGAGCATTGTCCCGTACCTGCTTGAATCTTTTTATTTCTCACCCTAACCTGAAAAGAAACTGATTAAAGAGACCCCCCCCCGGGTTTCTAAACCAACAAACCAAGGACTCAACAACTCTCCCGTGAGGACAGAGTCCCCAGTTCTGTCTGCAGACCAGTAGACAAAACTGCATCATCCTCCTCCTTCGTGCCACGCCTGGGAGCAACGGTGGCGAGGGCGCAACCCGTCGATTTCTCCCCACCTGAGCTGATTCTTCTTAATAAAGGCATTAAAAAGGAGAAAGATCTCCTGCCCATTTATTTCATCAGAGGCATGAGATGGTTACAGATTGTGGTTTTCTTTCCACTGAAGATTTGATATGCAATACTTGGCATTATTAACCAGCATACATGGAGATTATGCTAGCTAACTATTCTGGTGCTCTTTTGCTACACAGTTGTAAATATGCTAATGTCACATAGTTAGCCACTGATACTATGAGATGCAATCTTGAAATGGAAATCTATGGTCGGGTCATTACCCTCAGGGCAGGAGCCCATCAGGGAATGCTGGCTGGCCAGGATAGCTCAGCAGGGGGCTGAGACAACCTAGGCAAGCTAGAGTGATTTGCAGCTCTTTGTGATAATCAGCTCTTTTGTGATATTCAGCTCTTTAGCTTGCTAGGTGCCACAGCAGCAGATGCAGGGGAGAGAGGAGAAGCTGTGTGACGGTTCTGCAGGATTCTTTTATTCGGGTCTCCGCGAAGGGTCCCAGTGACAGCTCTTCTGCCGAACTGGGCACAATTAGGGGTTTTTATACCCTACAGGGGTTTTGAAAACTGTCCAATAGTAAGGGTCAGGGGAAAGTGACCTATGGATTTATACGGAGATAAGCAGGGTCTGAAAGGCGGAAGAGAGGGACTGCTAGGGTCATGCTGACTCGGCATTTCCTAGCTCTTAGGCCTCTGATCGCCAAGGAGGCCGTGCAGGCCTTGTGCCTGCTACAGAAGTCTGAATAATGCATTACATGTGTAACGTGCGAAATGACATAACTCTGTGGGAAGACTGCAATTCATAATCTGGACATTTTGTTCATGTAGGTGCCTCAGCTAGTCATTGAATAATTCTATTAATTTATAAGCTTACATTGCACTAAGTTCAATATAACCAGTTTCTCTAACTCCCAAATTACAGCATTCATACTTCTCAGAACAACATAATTCTGCATTAAATTAATGAAATAGTAAAAAACCCAATACATTTCTACACTAGAAACATAAATCCACTCTTTTTGTCAACTTTCAGTTGTGTCTACATCTGGGTTTCAATATTTTCTATCCAGAAGCATTATTACTTAACCTCTATCCTCTGTAGTTATTTCTGTATGATTTAGTTTTCCATTCACCATTACAGGGCCTGGATAAGACAGGTACTTATTTAGTACTTTAGTACTTATTTAGTACTTTCAAGGATAGAACTAATGTTAGGGACAGATGTCCCTTAATGAAATCCTTTTTGACTGTGAAGTGCAGGACATAAGGGTCCTGGCTCCCTGAGGTAGGCATGTTAGGGGAAATCCCCTTGAGAATATGACCATTCTGGCATATATTTTTATGACATTTCAGCATCCTGGCAGGATTTCTGAAAAAGATTTCAGATGTTTCAGTAGGAAGAGACAAAATAAATATCTGTGTTAACAGCATGCTGAGATTTCCGTGCTTCTGTAAACAATAAATAGGTCCAGATCTTGGGTTTTTTTAGTCGAATAAGAGGTGACATCAGTAGAAAGAATCAGTACTACAACAGGACAGGAATTGTTTCTGCTACAGCTACCAAAATGTGACAAATATATGTGACAAGCATTCTGAAGGGATAAAGTATCTTTAGAAGAAAATTCTAAGAGAAAACCATTCCATGAATAGTAGGAATTAGAGATTCAAAAGCCACTTTAGGATCTAAATAAATGTAGGATCTAAATATTTCGTAGTTCCTGAATTGGTTGTACGGGTGATGAGGGACACGAATATGTGCCTTCTGTAATATTTATCGACGGAGCCCTACTAAAGTCATTCAGTGGAATTCATGCAGGCTGACTTATATAAATTTATAGCGCTATGGTTATCCAGTTCCTTCCTCCCCTAAGTATCTGACTATATTCAGGCTATTTAGACTACTCACTTCTATTTTAGCAAGTAATGTGGCGTCTCCACACTGCTATTAGGCTTGAAAAAAAGTAGAATATCATTCTAATATCTTCTGTTGCGCTACAAAATCTCTTAAGTCTCTGTCCTAATTCCCTAAGTAACTTTCAAGTCATGCCCTACCATCTTTTAAGTACTCAGCACTAGTTTACTCATTCCAGTTCAACCTTGTCCTTTTCAAACTACTTAAGAGATTAAAGTTCTGAACTCTCTCACGTTTTCCTTTATTTTTAGGAATATTTTTTTCTACTCTTACAGTGGTGTGGAGAAAGCAAACTGTAAAATTTTCCTCTAGGACAAGAATCATTGTGTCATTTACTGACAGAGCCTTTGTTCTTGAAATTAATCTTAATTAATTAAGTCTTAACCCTAAGACCCGTCCCTTTCCTTTCTCCAATAACCACTTCTTGTTCTAGGCCCAGCTGTAATTTAAAGGTTCTCTTTGTCACCTGTCAAGAACCACATATACATAGCACCTGTCTCCAATTCCTGCTGGATGATTACTCTAGAAAATACTTCTTTATTTCAGTGGCAATGCCTTGGAGCAGGATGCTGCAAACTCTTGTGGCTCTTTGGATTAGAGTACCTTGCTGAAAAAGGTTAACAGTTTATCTTGATCACAGGCACCCAACCCTGTACACACATTCCAGAATCAATAATGCTTTTGACTGGCTTACAACTGACTGATAAATGTGCTAAACTCAGACTAAGGAGTGAGGAGGAGATAAAAAGGAGCAAGGCAGAAGTCAGTCCTCTGCCTTTTCAAAGCTCTGGCTCTGAGCTAGTCTTCCTGTAAAGATAAAACAGTTGGAGGGCATAAAGGCTTGTGGCACTAGGCAGGTGTTGAGGGGTATGTATTAGAAGTCTTTGTCCTTTGTTTCTGAAACTATCATATGCCATGGTTGTTTTACAACCACACTGTAAACAGAGACTATAACGAGTCACAATACACAGTCATGGAAAAAGGAGTTATGGAAGAAGTCTTATAATCTCTTGTGGGAGAGACTGAAATCAGGAACAATTTATTTTTTAATGCATATAACTACATGAGTGATAGGCTTACACTGCAAAGAGACAGCAGTAATCACAAATAATCTAGTTTTAGAATATTTACTTGTAAAGATTAAAATTGTGATAAACATAAAAAGGTGAAGAAGAATATATTTTTATGTTCTGTTTTTCAGTCTCTTTTATTAAAAAATTAATTATTTGTGTTACATATTTAATACACTATATTTCTATGCATTTGAAAGCTTTTTAAAAAATTTAAATTAAACACCACAGTAATTTTTAGTTAGGGGAACAAATGCTTGTACAAGAACTTTTGAGTTATTATGATATATTATTCTAAATTTTGTT